GCTCTTAACCTCTGAGCCATCTCTCCAGCCCTGTATTGTGGTTTTGTTTTACTTATTTTTATTTCATGTACATTGGCGTTTTGCCTGCATGCATGTCTGTGTGAGGGTGTCAGATCCCCTGAAACTGGAGTTACAGACAGTTATGACCTGCCATGTAGGTGCTGGGAGTTGAACTAGAATTGAACACTGAGCCATCTCTCCAGCCCTTGTATACTGTTTTGTGGGGGTGGGGAGAGTGTTTGCATTTGAGACAAGGTCTCACTCTGCTCAGGCTGACATCACATCCACCACAATCCTCCTGCCTCAGCCTCCCCAGGGAAGAGGTTACAGATGCCCCCAAGCCTAGATAATTTTACTGTGTATGTGTGTGTTTCTGTGCGGGTATGTGTGCATAAGTGTGCACGCGCATGTGGAGGACAGTCTTTCAATGTCACTCCTCCAGTGCTGATCATCTTGATTTCTCTAATGGGTGTGTGTGTGTGTGTGTGTGTGGGTGGGTGGGTGGGTGGGTGTGTATGCATGTGTGTGTGTGTTTGTGAACTCACGTGTGCATGTGTGTGAGTGTGGAGACTAGAGATTGGCATTATGTCTCTTCTTCAGTCACTCTCTATTTTGGGACAGGGTCTCTCACTGAACCTGGAGCCACCAACTCAGGCTAAACTAGCTGTCCAGTGAGCCCCAGGGACCCTGTCTGCCAGCACTGAGATTACAGGTAAGTGGGCCACACCCTTCCTTTATGTGGACTCTGGGGATCCCAATTCAGTTCCTCATGCTTGAGCAGCAATTTAGCAACACAACGGAGATCTCCCTAGCCTCTTTGCAATTTGTTCTGAGTCAGGAGTTTTCATCAAGGACCTGGAACTTGCTGGACATCAATCACGCTGGACAGTCTGCCTGGTCAGCCCAGGGATCTGCCTGTCTCTGCCTCCCCAGCTCTAGGATTGGAAGTGTGTGCTCATTACTCATGGCTTTTTAGTACACCTGGCTTTTGTTGTTGCTGTTGTTTTTGTTTTTTTCCCCCTGAAACAGGGTTTCCCTGTGTAGCCCTGTCACCTGGCTTTTTAAAGGAGGGTGCTAAGGCTCAAACTCCAGTCCTCATACTAGCAAGGCAAACACTTTACCAACTGAACTATTCTCCCACCCTGGCCCTAACTTTATCATTCCTTAAGAGCTTTTTAAACCGGGCGGTGGTGGCACACGCCTTTAATCCCAGCACTCGGGAGGCAGAGGCAGGCGGATCTCTGGGAGTTCGAGGCCAGCCTGGTCTACAAGAGCTAGTTCCGGGACAGGCACCAAAGCTACAGAGAAACCCTGTCTCAAAAAAATAAAAAATAAAATTAAATTTTAAAAAAGAGCTTTTTAGACACCAAGCATTGGAAATGCATTTTATATTCACAATCAGGATCTCCAAGACAGCGTGCACCTGATGAAGATTATGACTACCGGCCGTCTGAGAAAGGTACCTACACTGACTAGATGTTGCAAGGGAAACCATACCCTGGAGGAACCATGGGCTATGTCACCAGATACCAGATGAAGGGAAGTTTGTGGGGGCAGAGAAACAGCCTTGGGCTTCACCTCTGTTTCGGCTTGGTTTCTGCAGTACTGAGGATTAGCCCTTAGGGTGAGCCTGCCAGGTGAGCACTGAGCCACGTCTCCCGGCCAGAAGCTGCGTTTTGATCGCTTCAAAGCGCACGGGGCTGTGTAAAGGGATTATCAGCAGGCCTGAGTTATCAAGAGGGCTCAGGATCCTGTTTCCTTGGAAACCACCACGTGAAAATAGATGTGGGATGCTGTCGTTGGAAACCTTATCTGGAGCTCTGCACCTGTCTTAGACACTAGGACATTCCCCTGTGTCTAAATACCCACACCTTTCAGTAAATGGTAAAACGTGACATTCGTACAGACATCCCAAACAGCAAAACTCCTTACAATCTGGGACTCTAGAGAGTAAGATCTCCCGGCATTAGTCCCTTTGTTAATTAACAAAAAACAATCTTCCCAGGATTCCCTTAAGAAAGATTTGCCTCTTTGTACAGATAAGAGAATTGGCGTGCTCTGAGATTCTGGGTGCTTGCTCACTGTCCCGCAGCTGTTGAGTGGCAGCCAGGATTCATACGTTCTCTGTAGCCCAGGAGGACCACCCCTGCCCAAAAGATGCATGCACGTGGCCTTAAGCCAGCTGTGCTCACAGCAGCATCTTCTCAGACTAAGCAGCATCCCTCAGTACCTTGTTTTATTGACTTAGATGGGCTTTGCAATGGAATGCATAGAGAAAGTGTTCAGAGTTCAGTGTGTCGCGTTGCTCACTGATGTAAACACCAGACGACCCGAGACAGAATCCTCATCCCCCGGTAAATGGCTTATGTTCCTTTCAACCAATTGTCCTCCACCACCAGATGTCACTTTCGGATTTTTATAGCTTCGTGTTTCCATTATTGTAATACATCTGGTGGCTCACTCCAGGCAGTTTCTTTTCTATTTTGACAATTGGGTTTTTTGGTTTATGTTTTTTGTTGTTTTGAGACAGCATCTCTGTAGCCCTGAAATTTGCTATGCAGACAAGGTCAAGGATGACTTCAAATGCAGAGATCTGCAAGCTTCTACTTCCTGAGTGCTGGGTGTGCCACCACAGCCGGATCTGTTTGGACACTCTTTCACGGTTATTTGTTGAGAAAAACACACTTGTGATTTTATAATCAGCCTAGTGAGCATTCGTTAATAGCAAAACAGTAGCCAGGGCTACGGTAGAGCTCAGTAGTAGAGTATGGAAGAAGAGGGAGGGTGGTCAGGAGAGAGAGAGCAGGGAAGACAGCAAACTTTCAGGGAAGATGAACTATAAAATCTTGAAAAAGAAGCTCCAAACATGCAGGCAAAGCATCTATATACATTAAATGCTTTTTTAAAAAAGAAATAGGCCGGGCGGTGGTGGCGCACACCTTTAATCTCAGCACTCGGGAGGCAGAGGCAGGCGGATCTCTGGGAGTTCGAGGCCAGCCT